CGTTTTCACAGTTTAGGCTGCTCCCATTTCGCTCGCCGCTACTACAGGAATCGCTTTTGCTTTCTTTTCCTCTGGCTACTAAGATGTTTCAGTTCGCCAGGTTGTCTCTTGCCTAATGATATTTTGAAGAAAATGAACGAAAATCAAGCAAAAATGATAAATTTTGCCCAATTCAAATAAGGGGAACCAACTTGATACAAATTTGAAGATGAAGGGCCTTAATTGCAATTATAAGGGGTATAAGATGGTTGGAAAGATGAATTCATTGGACCAAACTATAAACAGAGAAGTACAGTGTGCGTGGGATCACATGGGGACCAAAGCACAAAGATCGAAATGCTTGGAAATACAAAAAACAGATAGTGAACTGACTACGCCATGCGATCGCACAACAATATACAATGTGGTTGGATGGTGTTGATCCGAGAGCAAAAAAAATTGCTTCATTTCCAGTTTCGTCCATGGTTTGGAAAGCAATTTGGTCAATTATTTAAACTAATTTAGGCGGCTAATTTCATTATTCTTCGTTCAAGAATATGGAGAACAAGGTTATGATGAGATTCAAGGCTATTAACATCAAGAGTTTGAAAATTCAAAAGCTCGGAATGGAATATTAATAGCAAGATTAATTAATTAAAGGCTTGAACGCTCTCCTTTGCGGGAAGAGTTACACTAGTTAACTCGGTCCTCATGGCTCTTCCAGCTTATGTTATGCAAGTGGCTGTCATTCCAGCTAATATTTGTGACAAAATTAATTCTATGTGCAGAAATTTTATTTGGGGAGCTGATGGTAATGAGAGAACTATGCATCTTGTTTGTTGGGATACGATGTGCCGGCATAAGGAGAGTGGGGGTTTAGGCTTGAAGAATTTAAAGGTTCTGAATCAGTCCTTCCTAGCCAAATTAACTTGGAGATTTGTCACTGAATCTCAAGCTCTTTGGGTGCGTGTTTTGAGAGGGAAATACTGTTTGAATAATGTTGATTATTTCCCTTCCAAATTTCGTTCTCAATGTTCTTGTACTTGGCGTGCTATGAATCGTACGTGGCCTTTTATTTCGGGATATTCCAGCTGGAGTATTGGTAATGGTAGGTGTGTTTCTTTTTGGTTTGATAATTGGTTAGGCACTGAACCTTTGATCAATCAAATCACACGGCCTATACCGAGTCTTTTTCATGAATGGCATGTGAAAGATGCTTTGAGCGGGGATACCTAGAATTTTAGATTTTTGTCTGAGTTTTTACCCGAGGAAATTTTGGATGATTTAAATCTATGTTGTTTCCCTAGAGATGAGCTGGAAGATGACATTCAGATATGGAATCTTGCTGGTAATGATCAATTTTCTTTGGTTTCGGCTTATTTGGCCCTTTTGGACATGGGTTCTAACAATGCTCATGGTTATTGGGATCTGGTCTGGCAGTGGCGAGGCCCTCAGCGTATCCAAGCATTTCTTTGGATTTGCATGTACAATAAACTTTTCACGAATTATGATCGCAATAGACAACATTTAACAGATGACCCAAGCTGCCCTGTTTGTCACAATGGCGTGGAAACCATCTCTCATGTGTTACGAGATTGTCTGGTAGCCAAGGCCTTATGGTTGCAGTTCTTGCCCTCCTCGGATAATACCAGGTTCTTTGATCTGAACTTTAAAGATTGGATGTTTCGTAATTTGCGGAATGATTTTACTGCCAGGGAAAATCTTGATTGGAAGATGCTCTTTGGGTTTACCTGTTAGCACATTTGGAAATGGCTTAACAATTTGGTTTTTAATAACTCTTGGGTAGATGGTTTCTCGAAGCCTGAAATCATCCTCCATGAAGTTCATGCTTGTGTGGCTGCCTTTGATACTCTTGTTGCAGTTGGAGAGGTGAACGTAGTGCAGATAGGCTCTTATCAGCTGGACTAGACCTCCTGATGGTTTTGTGGTTCTGAATACTAACAGAGCTTTTCGTAGAAATTCTCTTTTAGCTACTGCAGGAGGTGTCTTTCGCAGTCAGAATGGAGTTTGGTTGGGAGGATTTTCGGTCAAGTTGGGCATTGTAATGCTTTTAGAGCTAAACTTTGGATATTTACACTAGTTTGCAGGAAGCATGGAGGAATGGGTGGCGCAAGGTTCATGTCCAAGTTGACAACTTAGCTATCGTTTTGATTTTCAACTTGAGAAATGCAAGATTCGACCCTACTACACCTAGAGGGGGTGATTAGGTATAAATGCGAAATTAAAACTTTAATTAATAAGCAACAAGTCACAAGTTAATTATGTCTAGGTGATTAGTCAAATAATTCAAATTATCATATCTTTGAATATCGCAATTTGTATAATAAACAGTAAATATGAAAGTAATAAATATAGAACACCAATATGATGACGGAGAAACCCAACTGGAAAATCTCCGGGACCAAACCAGTTACCTCCACTATAGACAAGATGGATTACAGTATGTTTCCAGCTAGCAAATTTCACTCGTTCCCGCTGTTGTAATTCCTGCAATCTCCAAGAATTGTTGTTCCTTCCAAACTCACGACTTGCTACCGTAGATACTATGTAGCCATCCTACCAAACTTTCCTATCTACCTCCTGTAGCTTCCTGATCTGCTATACTTTGCAGTCTCACGATCTGCTACCGTAGATACTATCTAGCTAACCTGCTAGACTTCCCGTTCGACTTCCTGTAGCCTTCTGATCTGCTGTCTCCTTCCAGCTTCCAGATCTTCTTCTATAATCTCTTCCAAGTGAAATTTCAAGAATCTCCAATTCTTGTGCTCTTTCTGTACTTGTAGCCCACCTCTTCCAAATCTCAATGAAAGAGTCAGTTACTTAAAAGATTAAGGACTCCATGTGTTTTGAATTATGGAACCTTTAATGTTTTTCAAAATCGGGTTGCTGGATCTCAAGATTGAATATGGATGAATCATTGAATTGTCTCTTGGATCTCTCAAACAATGATATGAAAGTATTATATCTATTAAGCACAATGAAGCAACCACCAATTTTTGTGCAAAACCCTTTGTGTTTATAGTTAGAGATGTATAAATAGTACGGGTCGTGTAAAACTCTCCAAAATAGCGAATTAGGTTTGGCCGCACAGGTAGGTCGCTCGAGCGAGCTGTCGGCAAAGCTCGGGCGAAAATGTTACTGCATTGGTCGCTCGAGCGAGCCTCTAGCGAAGGTCGAGCGAGGGTTGAGCAGTTGTCAGTATTTTTATCATAACTTTCTCTACCAATGTCCGATTGTAATGATTCAAAATTTTTTTGGAAAGATAACTCGAAGGGATACAATTCTTTTAGAAATAGCCATATCCAAATTCCAATGTTTTCTATGTGAAAAATGCATTGAAAGAGACTACTGAGAATTTGGAACATAATTTGTGCGGCTCTTTGATACTCTTTAGACTTCTAATTGCATTCCCTTTATCATATGTGATCTTCTTGGACATATTAGACTCCTCAAAGGACTCAAACCCTAATTTACCTAATTTACACATATTTCACCCCAGGTCCTTAACTTTTACAATACGTTACAAATTAGTCCTTTGTCCACAGAATTGCCAACACTAAAAACCTAACAAGCTGCATTCTGTAACAAAACTACATAATAAGTCAAGGAAATAAAAAATATCAAACTACACTACCCAAGTTACTCAAAGTCTTCTATTTCTTACATTTCTTGGTGTATTTGTTTCTTGAAATAAAAAACTTAATACCCAGTGTAAAAGCACGTGATACAGGAAATCAAAAACTCATCAACACAAATAAGCATGCTAGTTTGAGACGTGATATTAATGTCAATAAAACACCAACCGAAAACATTAACATCACAAAACATCAAAACTCAAATAGCTATACATATGATATGCAATGCTGATGCAATGCACATGCTCTTCCTTACTGCAAACTCTCAATTTTTTATGCAGTAGGCAAATGTATTTATGTCTCACTCTATCGACCCCTAAAGATATATGTAACTGCTCAGAAAATGCACAATGATATAGCTCTCCCTTACAATAATAGTATCTCCCCCTTTTTGTCACAAATGTCGAAGGGACAAAGCAAAATTACACATCTCAACAATGTAGGTATAAGCAATCTCAAGTATATGCAATAACAATAAAGTATCCCAGAACTTCAACTTAAAGCACCCATGGAGTAAATGATATAAGTGATTCATGTGTTAAGTGTCACTAATTCTCTGGTAGTAGGACCCCATACCTTAATTTTGTAAGAAAAGACATGCTAAACATTACTGCTAATAAGTATATTCTTCTACTTATGAAAATCAAATCTTAAAATACATTAGAACCTACATATGAAAGCTCACTTCAAATCAATTCTTTTCCCCCCTGACTTACAGTACAAGTAATTTTTATTTATCTCAACTTGCAATAGGAATGCTCAAATATATATATTTTTCATCTTAAGTGTAGACTCCTCTTTATTAAGTGACTAACATGACTTCTATAACGAGCTTTATGTCGGTTAATCCAAGTCAGACGACTATAGGCATCAAGTTATAAGAAACCCCACAGGCTTAATTGCTCAAGTCAAGTAGGCTTCGAAAAGTAGTATTGAGATATTGAGCTCCTTTATTTTTTTTCTCATACAAATATTGAATCGTGCAGGGATAAAATCGAGCTTAGGTCTAATTTTATTAAAATGGTCAATTCATGTTCAAAGTCACCTTTCAACATGTGACTGCTATCCCAAATCTCACACACACGGTAGAGTCCCACTGTCAAGATCATAGTGTGTGCAGTGCAGATAGTATATGAAGAGACCTATATTAAATACTCCACAAGTATCCTAAGCTAGCAATGTAAATTATATTATAGCCCACCAAATAAACTCATTCTTGAGCGACTGCTATCCCAAATCTCATATGCACGGTAGAGTCCCACCATCAAGATTATAGTGTGAGCATTGCAGATAATAGCAATGGAAATTATATTACAGCCCACCAAATAAATTCATTCTTGATTAACACCCACAAAATCAAGTATATTATTTATCATGCTGTAAAACCAATTTCCAAATAAAACTCTTTTTGTTATCACTTTTTATTTTTCTTTTTCTCAGAACAAAAACTTAAACCAAAGAAATAAAAGAAAATGTTTTTATTTTTTTCGTTTAAAAATATGAACGCATTAAACACACAAAATATAAGAATTCAAAAAAACACAAACCATAAAAAAATGCATGAGATCAAATAAAAAAATAAACGTGATGCATGCATAAATCCATGTCACATAATGATAAAAGCACAAGTATGCACCAAACCAAAATACCTAATCAGTTAGGTATGCAAATGATCTTATCTTTAAGAGCACCGTGATCTATTTCAAAATTTTTCAGATCACTCTTCTTCACCTAAATTTGCCTAAACAGGATTATTTCTATTCATCTGTGTCATGATCTTAGTCAATTTACTTACCTGATTAGTAAGAAGGTCAGTCTGATCAATATAATCCTGATTCTTATTTCTATTTAAATTCCAGTTTCTATTTCTATTCAGGAAATGATGACACCTAGGCTTTATGTGCCCTAACTTATCACAATGAAAATATGTAGGGATAAATCTAGGACCAATGTAATGTGAACGCTGACGTCTATTCCTAGGTCGACGGTTCCTACACTGTCTAGTAAACCTATGTCTAACAAATCTCTTATCCTTGAGATCAGGGTTAGGCACATGTTTGGATTGGTCAGTGGCAGAGATAAAAATTTGGGGTGGCCTTATAAGTACTAGTAGTAGTATCCTTAAAACCTAGACCTCCATTCCCTTCCAGTCGGCTTGCCCATTCCTAAAATGTTGTTTTTTTTTCAGAAACACTAGAGAAGACAAGCAGTTGAGACTTAGAATATACCAGATCGCTCAGAAGGTTCTTAACCTGGATTTCTAAGGTCTCTCTCTCAATGGTCAACTCGCCGACTCTCCTAGAGGATTTCTCAAGTTCACTAGTGAGGTTTCTAACTTGAATATCTAAAGATTCATTCATGGATTTCACTTTACTCAGGATGGAGGTAAATTCTTTAATGTGTGCTACTAACTTCTCATTTTCCAATTCAAGTTTCTTATTTCTCATGCTTAAGGCTTTGTTCTTAGTGAGAATCCTAAGACTCTCCTCATACATCTTATCATAAGCCTCTCGATATCTTCCCCACTCTCAGACTTTTCATCAAAATCCTCATCACTAACTAGGTCCCCTTTTGCACTCCTCTGGTCTGATTCATTCCTAATTCTAGCAGTAAAGGTAACACGTTTCCCACTTTCCTCACGAATGGATTTCTCACTCTGATTATCTGAGCTACACTCATTATCAGTAAGAGTAGCATTCATAGCCTTATCTTGATTTCTCCTTCTGCTAGGGCACTCACTCTTTACATGGCCTATACTTTAACAATTATAGCATACTTTTGCACTCCCCTGGTCAGATTCATTCCTAATTCTAGCAGTTAAGGTAACATGTTTCCCACTTTCCTCACGAGTGGATTTCTCACTCTGATTATCTGAGCTAGACTCATTATCAGTAAGAGTAGCATTCATAGCCTTATCTTGATTTCTCATTCTGCTAGGGCACTCACTTTTTACATGGCCTATACCTTGACAATTATAGCATCTAACAGACTTAGATCTTCTTCTAGATTCACTCAAGGTACTTCCATGTCTCTCATGAGGTTCATTTTTATTCCTTAACATTTTCCAGAACTTTTTAGCAAGGTAAGCTATTTCCTCATTAT